AGAAAGCTTCCGAATTCATCCGCCACAAACTGCCGCACCTCAGATGACGGCGTTCCATATCTCAGCAGGGCCTGGCATGTGCCCAACTTGTCTTCGGTTAGGCGTCGATCGTACAGAAACTTTAACAGTTTGTGGTTTTGTTCAAGAAAATAAGAGGTCACTGCCAGTTGGTTCCTTTGCCTCCGTAGACAAAACCCCACTGGAGAGCTGGTGCTTAGGGCACTTTTTTATTAGAAAATACGCTCGGCTTACTAGCTTCTTCGGATTCCACGGCTTTCCGTTGGTCTTGGAGGGCACCTGCTGCATTTGTAGTACACCCATTCGTAACGCAAAATAGTGCTGGTGCTTCGGTTACTGGATGAACGCACAAATATCACAAATTTATCCTTCATGTATTCATTTAAGGTCTTCTCAAATGCCGTGAAGGATGAAAACGATACACCCACAGATTTCTCAACGAAAGCCACTTCCGAAGCCATAGCAGACGAAGTTCACAGCCGAGTGTGCGCCAATAATTTTCAGAAGAGATCGACTAAAACAAATCGCAAAAAAGTGATGGCAGATGACGGGGGGTTTCAGTCTACGCATATATGCAAAGAAGTGCAACATCTTGACGTTAAAGTTTTTATTTCGCCCGCAGGGGTTTTGCAGAAAAATGCATTGTGCGTCTAGCCGCTGGCACCTTGACCAATATCTCACTGTCCTAGTTAACTCAAGGTTGGCATTGACCTTGAGCTTTAGTCCACCGGTCTCATCACTGTAAGAGTTATAATGTCTGCCTTATTCACCCAGTTCTTTGTTCTCCACAATTTACTCTTACGTTTCACGTAGCAGACATGTCTCCACGGTTTTGTCTTCCTTTCCATTATATCATTCCAGCAATGATGAAATTGTATCACCCCGACCATACCTGATTTGGCATGCCCCCGACAAGTTTGAAAATGAACCTATTATACTACTAGACTCAGATTACCAAAGAGCTTCCAGTCCGCGTCTTGGAAATAAAACAAAATAGCCTAGTAAGTCCATGCGGCGCACCAGTCCATCTTAATTCGAGCCTCAAAACAAGGCAAACCAAGTGTTTGTTGCTCCGATGGACAAAATTAGATTGCGCGGTCAAAAGCGCTCTTTTCTGACTTGGTATGCCAGATAAACAGGATGCTTTAACCTAAACAAACTGATACGTCGCTAACTTCAGCACGTACCCAAAATCTTACTTTATCCGTGACGAGCAAAGTCGTAGCAGCTGGTAGACTCCGTTTTGGCATATGGTTTGCAGGCCAACTTTGACCGATTCACGGATTGATACACCGGATCGAGGCTTTTGCCCAAGTTTCCCGGGTCGGTTTTGCTCTTGTCGGTCAGTGGCTGTTGTTCACCTGAGAGGCCCCAAGTGAAAAAGGGTGTAACACTGCTCTTCATGTACTCAGCGCGGGGCGGTATGTTTGCCAGCGCGAGGATTCACATAAATAAGTGTCTAATAGTGCTTTAAAATGGGTTCTAGAGGGCACGTGAACAATCGCCGGAGGAGGGTCATCCCACGCACCTAATACCCGAAATGAGAAAAAGTTTTGCTTAATGAATGCGTGTGCTCTGAGCTTGAAAATTTTCTTAATATGTCCCCGCCGTGTGTTTGGTGGTTCAACGCAAAAAAACCTGTTTGCCAAGCTTTTTTCAAACAGAACATAAGTAAGAATTAGGTCCCCTCGGAGGCGACGGCACTCCAGGGGAAAGAGATCAAGCATCGCGAGACGCGTTTCGTAGTCCACGGATTTGAGGCCGTCGTAGCGGCTCGCTGGACACGCTCAATGAGGTTGACGCCTCTCATGCGTCCTGAATAGACAACTTGGTTGGCGTACTCCAAGAGCGGTCTGACGTAGTCCCCATAGGGTATTTGTAAGTCCATGCGAGTAATACGGGGTAATGTGCGTCGGATCATCCGTAAAATGGCGAATGCCTTTTGGGCTGATTCCTCATGGTGCAGTGAGAAGGACAAGTTTGAGGAGACCCAGATGCCCAAATCCTTTTTGGCACCTATCCTCATGATGTTTTCTGGTCCTTTCTCACCATGCACAACAAAGGCATTCGCTGAGTCTCCTCCAAACGACATATGGACGCGCTTTTCGTCATTCAGAGGAAGGTGCCAGTCCAACGACCACTGCCTGACAGCGTCTATATCCATTTGGAGGGCACCGGCATTGGTACTCCAGGATTTCAAGCCGTCCGCAAAAAGTAAACATGGACTCGCAAGAATGTCTGGGAGGTCGTTGACGTAGATCAGAAACAGCACTGGTCCCAGGACGGTGCCTTGATGAACTCCTATGGAAACCGGCGCTAGAGAAGCGTAGTTAGAACTTACACTCATTCGGAATGATCTGTCTGATAGGAACGCCTTGATCTAGCGAAGGATTTTTCCTTGAATCCCGTAAGCCTCGAGTTTGTGGAGCAGCGGGACGTGTGGGACCCTATCAAATGCCTTTGAGAAGTCGAAATAGCTCACTTCAGAATGCGTTCCACCACCTTGGAGGGCACGCCAGTGAGGCTTATAGGCCTATAGCTGCCAGGCGATAGTCGGGCACAAGTTTTGTGGATTGGCGTGACAATCACTTCCTTCCAAGCAGAGGGAAGGCGGCCTTTGTCAAGTGACTGACGAAAAACACCAGGTGTAGATGATTTACAGGTGTGGAGGACCTTGGCTGGACCTCGTCGGGCAACAAGCGCAGAATGGGTTGATCTGGTGCAAGAGTTAAGGAATGTCCCCCACCATGAATAGCAAGTCGGTTAGAGGCTGTTCGTAGTTCCGCCTTGACAAGAGTGGATTTGACGAAGACGCTGGGGCTGAGTATAGTCACCCACTGTGTTCTCTGTAAACCTCAGATACCACTGTTGGGTCATTCGTCGGTTCTCCGTTTCTGTCCCTCAAGGAGAACGCGGCGATGTATCATGTATTTGTGCCGAAAAGTAGTTTCTTTGGATCTCGGCTGGGAACACAATGTTCTTCAGCGCGAGCTGTTTAGTTGATCAATGTAACCCGCCAAAGTGCGAGTTGGCCCAAGACCATGCTTCGTGTGCACAAAGTTTTGTGAACTTTGACGAAAGAACAGTTATTCTCAGCCAGAGTGGTTAAATTGTGCCATTTTGCTGAAAGTAATGCACTTTCTGACACCAATCAGTTGGGAACAAACATAAAACGAACTGCTTAACTAACCTTGGGTGAGCTGCACGGAGTTCGATCAGTTTTCGTTTATAAACATTTTCAAATTTGGCGCAAGTTCGCTTACTTATTTGGTTCCGTTGGTTTCTGAACATTGTAGCCGACGAGCTACAGTGCGACGTTCACCACTGATGTTATCGATAAATCTGTACCGGCCCTTCCACAGAGCACTGTGGGTGGCTTAATTTACGGCAATGGATGCATGGTTTGCGTTGTCCTTACGCAACCGTACATACCCGGTCCTTACGTCGGATCCCACAATTACCGCCGGTTGACTCCTATCCAACTGGAACTACGCCTTTAAACATACCATATATAAGGTCGGGAACCAGCGTCAACTTAACAACTGTGTATACGCAAGCCCCATGTCTGTTCCATGTTAACTTAGAGAGGCCGTCCATAGAACTCATAATCGCTCTTCTTCTGTTACATACACCACTGTATGCTTCACTTCACATCTGCTCCAAGGCTTTTCAGTTGTCCCCCATCTTCCAGGAAGCCGAAAAGAGGTTTGTCAAGTGCATCTAATAATAATCTTTAAGAAATAATTGCGGGTTTGAGCAAACCTCCCCAACTATTTGTGTACGGTCGGTAATCTAGGATGACGGTCTGTAGGTTTCCTGTTATTCCCATGCCGTAACCGAGCCCCCTTAATGACCAAACATCAGAATTACGCTCTTTATCACAATAAAAAACACATCTAACAGTACACTCTTCAAAAGCATCCAACCACCTCCGTAATAAAAACATGAAACCACTGTCCATTTCCCCACAAAATTCGTGGATGGCGGCTGACACCTCCCATCGATGGTTCCGGGATGATCATTATTGTAGCTCACAGTAAGTCAGAAGAACACGTAAGTACGGACACGGGTGTATTGGGTACACGCGGCCAATTTGGTCCGTTTTCGTGACGGGTCAGCAAACAACTGAGTACATATCCAGTCAACCCACAGTGCTCACGCGAGCAAATCAATCGGACACGCACCCACTCAGCCACTCAAGTCACGTGCCAGATCGATGGTGGAACGATGAATGGACACACACGCGCAAACTCTCTAACACCCCGAATAAGCCACTGCGATCAACTTCCAGTCAGCCTACACAAAACCTTCTGGACGGCTTTTGACAGCAAGCAGAATATATATTTCATGTAGCATCAGCGCAGGAACCTGAAACCATGTCCAACGTTGACCAACACATGGAATTTAGGATCACTGATGCAAATTCGATCATTCTGATAGGCTATCAGAATGACCAGGATTCTCGGCCACACGTTTCTCTTCATAAGTTGACGAAATTTTGTTGTTTTCTACTCTTTGTTTAATCGGCCCTTGCTTGGACGTTTCGGTTTTGTAATAATTTTCTTTCTGAGGCTTTATGATAAAACGCCAGAGAGTTAGCCTTTGGAAGAACACAAAATCACTGCCTTCCTTCCACACCCGGAGGCGTTATTCCACTTTAATCTCGTCCTCCTCAAGCACAGGCGTCTATTCCAAAAATAATCACTTGATCCAAACATTTTGTCCAACCGATACCGGGAAAATTGTCGTCAGGTGTAAAAAGGGTAGGGATGACAAAGGTTTCAACATCAGAAACCACATGGCTTCACCTCATAGCCTGTCCTACTCCCTTCATGATATCCCAATGACCACCGTTGGGTTGGCGTTATGTTAACGATACCTTTGTCATAACCAAACCTGATGACACCAACAACTTCCACAGCTATCTCAGTAGCTTGTATTCTCATATCAGGTTCGGTATGGAGGTAGAATTCACCTTGAGCACATTGCCCCACAGGAACAGTATCGCAGAAGAATGATGGGAAATTAAAAATTACCATCTACCGGAATCAAACAGATACACAGACAGTTTTAAACAACTCATCAGCACACCTAAAGTCCATGTACTCCGGTATTGTCTCATCAGTAATTATCTGAGTCTGAGCGTTTTGCACAGAATATGTTAGGCTAAGGAAAAAGGGTGATTTCGATTAGATGGCAATTAAGAATGATATTGGTTCCGGTATCTAGACCCAGTACGGCATGGATTGGCAAAGCCACCATTCCATAAAAAACCGCAGGGTATTTGAAGACTGCCAAGCATAGCTGACATTCGATTTGCGCTTCAGAATAGAAAAACTTTACACTCACTTTTAACGCAATCGAATGAGCACCTCCCGGCTAAGAGGATTGGGGGCTGCGTGTATAAATGCAATGACCGCACTAAGTTCACATAGGACAAACAGACAGGGAACTGCACACTAGAATTGGTGAGCAAAAGAGAAGGATAAACAAACTACCAAGGAATGCGCAAGAATGCCAAGCGCTGATCAAAGACTCAGTGACGGCGGTACATGCATTAGACGATGGACATAGAGTAGATCTGTACAAAGTAGAAGACTACAATTCACGCTACAGCGGCTGATGACTGAGACAGAGGAAACCGTTCAAACGAGAGTGGTGTGACCATGAACAAAATACCTATCCCGCAAAACCCGAAAACTGTAACCAAAAAGTTGCCCAGTGGGTTTCAAGCGTGTGTCACTATACATGACTGGAAAGTACCGACTGATGGATTGATCGATCGTCACAACCAGGACAGTTACTGGGTTGTCGTTAGATGAGTCGGGCACACCAATCACATCACTCAAGTGTGAACACGTTCGTCTGTTCAGACATGAAAATTCAGACACGTCCAAAGTGTGTTGGTGGAGTAGCAGTTACACGCTAGCCTAGCATGTCAGATGTCCGTGGTTCAAATCCCGGTACGGCCATTGGACATGCACTGCTGATGAACTCTAATAAGAGCAAAACTCGAGTCCAGTGCTTTCCTCTGCTGTGGACTCACCGGAATAATTACACCGGAACAGGAGGAGGACCGTTCAGACTAGAGTGATTACTATGAACAAAGGAAATCACCAAGTGTGAGTAGAATCACGGGTATGAAACTGGCGAGTGTATGGGGAACAGGCTTAGATAAGCTAAGTTGACATGCTACGGGGAATGAATGTCAGTAAACGGAGAATCATTAGAAAAAAGGGCATAGAAATCCCAACTCGACCAAAGTTCACAAACTTTCTCTCTCCAACGCAACCACTGTAGCAGTAACTCATCCACACAGACAGACGGAAAGTGCAAACGCAGTTGAAAAGCAATCTTCACGTGAAACGAACCGGAAGAACCAGACCCCAAGCTGGAACCGAATCCATGTAGGTTTCACCGTCGGCCTAACACTTGGTCACCCACCCTAACACACAAAATCCCTCGGATGACACCCAACGTTGACTTAGTCTAACTTAGCTGATTGGTTTTGCTTTCGTCTCAAGTTTTGATCAACCTCGTAACCTGGTCACTTGGCCTGGCCAGGTTTTTATCTCAAAAGCGATACGTTACCGAACAATAAATCCACTGACTGCTTCGTAAATTTTCTCATAAAAGGATACAAACCGTTTTGGGGACTGAAGCATGACTCCTTCTCCCTAACCTTTTTGTACGATTGGCGCTGCTGCTGCTTAACTCTTTCATTTGGTTTTGTATTCACGTGATGGCAACAGCAAAGATCAATATCCTTGTGTTCCTGGATAATGAAAATGCGTTTGGTGTAAGCGGCCAGGTTCTGTTGCTTCAGAGGTTTATAGCAGGTGAAATAATCACAAACGAGAGATTCAGCTGCGTTCCAGGTGGGTCTCTCGCAAAACCAAATTTGTTTGCGGATGAGTGTATTTCGCTAAAACAAGGTCTTTTCGGAAGAGTTCGGCAAACAATCGATAGTTTTTTCAATTGAGCTTTTGACACAAAAGGCCAAGCATCCCACAGAATAAAAGGCGTGAAACTAGCAAACGTGTGGACAAAGGTTTTTGATCAATCGAGCTGACACTTGTCGGTGTGCGGTTACCAGAAGGAGTATTCATCATCTAAAGTGCACTTAATTTCGACGAATACACTCATTAGTAAATCAATTCGGCCTTCACGAGAGAATGAACTGAATATCTCGTTTATGATGTTCTTAACTTAACTTCACCCACTTTCCCTCCCCCAACTAACTTGTCGTAACACTCACAAAGAGCAGCGTAATCCATCAGTGGCATCCACGAGTAATCACCCATTGGAGCACCTTGAAATGGAAGATTAAGGAACCAAACCCGATCGGAACTATTTTGAGTCTAACCCAACCCATTGGCGCAAGATTTTGGCAGCCATAACAATCATCAGGAGCCGTTGATTGATACCGAACACTGACTTAGTATGCTCATATGAGGATATCTTACGTCTGCCTTAAAACCCGATCAACTCGATGGTCTGCTCACTTGGACTGATGAAGCTTTTGCGCGAAAAGTGAAACGTAGCCCAGCTGAAAAAACTGCTGATTGTTTACGAAGCTCTACTGAGACAGTGACTTCTCAACCAGTTCCAAACTTAATCTAATTGACTGTAAATGGGATCTGTCTAAATTTATCTATCAACTGGACGCAATTTGAGTCTAAGTGAATTCTATCCCCACTGGCACTGTTTTGCTGCCCCTACATTTCCCCGTTGGTCATTTGATTGGTTCCAACAAGGACTACGTGTCTTCTGGAGCTCGGCTTGTCGGATTCCAGGAACAACTAACACATGGTTGAATTCCGAACGTCCTAACTGGCACTTATCAGATACTTCGAAAGAACAGTGGCTGCTTATATTAGGCGATATGACTATCTGTCACATCGCCAGAGTAGGATGACCGACGATCAGCTCAAGAATCAAACGTCGTCTGTTTGCGCTCTACCGAGCAGAGAATAGCAGAAACCGATGTGTGGACTGGTAACCCTCCACTGGTCAGGTACACTACTTTTTTGTCTGTTGGTGGTTTTTCTTCAAGGAATTATGACGGACCTGAGTCCTGGAGCATACCAGAACCTACCAAAGGCCTAATAAACTCACCAAAGTCTCATGGTCAATCACTCCCCCAAAATATAACGTATTATCCCCATTAATTCCGAACCAGCATGAAGACTTCTTGCTCATAGCTCTTGAAGGCACCGCAGTCCCCAAAACCAGTCGTTTTATTTGAATGTAAACTATTCTGTACATCCCAGTTGTTCCACACCTACTGAGCAGCCTCCACCAGACTACTGACATTCTGCTAACTCAAACTAAGGTTGCTCTCTGTACTATAAAACCACGGTGAGAAGATTCAAAACTGCATGTTTTCTACAAAATTAGGTGGATATACTGCCCCTTTAACTCTACACGGGGGACTTCAGCCCCATTCCTGGGTCACCCCGGGTTGAATTGCCCACACTTTTCTCTCGGATTCCTTCGGCCATTCACACACACACACACACGTGATCTGGTTTCATCCGAAGCCATTTGAGATTGGAAATGAGGAGACGGATCGCGCAAGCATGGTCAAACTTGATCGATTATTGATTTATCGAATAAGCATTTTTATTGGCCTGTTGGGTCACCTGTCTTCTGGTTGCTGGCAGCCTCGCAACTTTGCCTACCCGGTCCCCTAGTCGTGACCTCTATTCGTTTACCCCCACAGTACGTT